GTTGTATTTTATCACCCTGAAAAACAGCGGCTGTACGCGAAGTCTCTCTCAAACGCCAGACCATGTTGAGACACGACAGCCCAGCCATTCGTCTCATAAGGCTCATTTCTTTCACAATAGTCATTTGCCGTAAATTTTCAATCATGGCAAATAACCCATGATCACTGCTGAACATGGAAATCAGGATCAACTCGACTTCAACAGAGAGAACTTGCTCCTTAGATTTACACCAGACTTAATTATAACAGTTGGGGGCTAGTTCACACGAAGCTCCGCTGTCCGTCCCACGCGTTTGTCAGGGCGTAGACGACAGTGACATTCAGCGGGGCCTGTTTAATATACCCTCTCTTTTAGACGGCCGTCTGACTTACCCCATAGGGAAGAAACCGGTCACAGCAAAATCTGTTTTGGCCTGACCAATAAAACGACCACCATTACTGCTGGTGAAGCGTTTCTTTGCCCGGGAGGCGAGCTTCGTGATCGCCATTACATCGATTTTCTACCGATGCTCCGTATGGCAGAGCTTCCGAACCTTCCTTTGCCAAATAAGGAACAAACTTTCCGACATCCAACACGGAACGTATCTTTTGTTATATTGATTGCTGAAACTACAGATTTCTTAGTCCTGGTTGCTTAGTTTGCGACCTGGAATAACTTGCGCAACTCGACTCCTTGCAGCAATAAATTAACCGTAGACTGTTAGGAAATCGACCTGATAAGTGTATGCGACATTTAACCTTCTGTTAATTTTGTCGAGTCCATTCTGTCGAGTATACTCGTCCGGATATGAATCGTCCCTTTAATAATAAGTGTATTTTTCTCATTTTCAATACCAAGCGTAGCACTTATTTTTTGCGCATGACTTTAAACTTTTCAGATTCATTTTCTGACCCATTTTGATCCTGGCGTTCTTCCGCTGATAGATTCGTCATTCTTCTTTTAGAGTTTTTCTGCTACCTTTAAGAAGATCAGAATATCGTCCGCAAACCGTATGTAGCTGAAACAGTATTATGCATCTGCAGCACTTGATTTTCTCAATGAACTGTCTTGAAAACCTTCCTATGGCTAGGAACAACTTGTTTTCATTGCGTCGTTCTGTCAGACATCCTCTACAATTTTCAACATGCTTCTACTCTTGTTAAGCTTCAAAGTGGCAGTTGCATTTTTATAAATCACCGCGATGATGCTTCTCGGTCTTTCGTCGATTCTCTCGCTGATAAGGGAATTTAATACAGAATGTCGTCGTTTTTACCATTTAAAAAAGTTCACTGTGAAACCTGACTGCTCCTTTGGCTGCAGAGAGTCCAGACTTTATTGAAATCTGTTGTTAGTACTCTTCTAAAGAAACTGATGTCTGTAGTTCTTCAGATGCTCTCTATCTCCTGTTTTGTAGTGTAGAATCAGCGATAAAATGGTTCCGTTGTTTAAGATTTTTAGTTCCTTCAAATGCTGTGAAAACAGACGCGCTAATATTTTCGTTAGTGCTCTATCTTATCATCCCTCGAGCTCCACTGTAATGCCGTTTTTGATAAAAAGGAAGGTTGATGCAATGGCAAGATTTCGGCTTCGAATTGCGTTAGTGAAGCGTTTGAATGCCAAATCAGCTTTTGACCATTTCTTATTTTGATATAAGAATTCTTCCCAA